CGAGTATACAAAATCATCCATATATAATCCGCTCTCAATTGCCCTCTTAGCTTTAGGGTAAGAGGGACCTTCATCGTGGGCGAGCTGTTTCACCGTGCGTAACGCATGAAATGGGCTCGACTTTAAACCAAAACAAACGCGGTTACATTCAAACACCATTAGAGGTTCCTTTGGGTTGAAACGATATAAAATGCGTTGGAATCTACGGTCGCATTCACGGACCCCTACACTGCAAAGAAACATTTGGCGAATATCGGCGGATAGTGCTATACTAAACAAACGAAAATTGGCTATTATATTAAATAAACTGCCCTGTAAATTTTCCCCACTATAGAGGATATCGTTAAGCGACAGGTGAGTGCTAGTTTTAGCACTAGCGTCGAGCACTACACGTAACTTAGATGTAAGTTTGTCCTCCCTTATGACCCCGTGGTGTGGTATGAAATACGACGGTGTGTCTTCGTAGTTATCTAATTTCGAAGCCACGAGTGATATGTAACCTTCTCTTATGTATTTGTTAATGACGCCGTCATAAGCTTCCTTTAACTGGGGTGAAGCGAGCATCCTACGCTCCAAGCTGTAGAAACGTTTTTCCGCCATTTGACGCGAATCGCCGAGAGATAAAACATCTCCCTTAAGGGGCAGCGCTACACTATATCTACCGTCGCGATCACGAACGGTCGTGCGGACGTAAATTTCCTCGCATAATCTGTCATCTGAGCTAGCTATGGGTGGGACGTTCACCTCCTCCATCTCCCAAAATTTGCGGACTAACGACTCGAGCGGTTCGACAGCCATACCACAATAAGAGGTTGCCGAAATACTATCTATGATGGGGGCGGAGCCAATGATAACATAGCCCAATACGGTTTCTAGTGCGTAAGGCGCGGTATGCGAGGAGTTGCCCCTGACCTTATTGTTTAACAAAAGATGAGGGAAAAGCGATGCTCCGATGAGCATGTCTATGTTTCCAGGAACGGCGTAAGTGTCGTCCGCTAGAATCAAATTTTTAAATTCAATCATTGCCGAGGTGTCAACCGAAACGGTTGGCAACCGTTCAGTGACCCTATCTACTACTAGTGCATTTATATCAAAGTTAACGTTACGATCTATCCGAGAATAAAATTTTAAATTAATATATCCCTGGGTAGCTTTACTAGTACCTCCGATGCCTTTAACTACAGGACATGAAAGTGACCTATTTATTACTAAGCATAAGCGCTGACAACATTGTCGCGTTATAAAGCTATTTTGGGCTCCGCTGTCCAACAGTGCACGGACGCTTTGTTCGTTCCCACGCGAATCCTTAACCAAAATACGCGCCGTACCCAGTAACACGGTTGAAGGAGGTTGTGCTCCCATATTTGCCAATGAGCACAGAGCGACATCACCAGGTCGACCGCTAGAATCGTTGACCTTAGTAGGGGTGAATTCCTTGTCCGCTTTACTTGACGCCGCTATGTTGCTATTTTCAAAATGTAATAGCGTGTGATGTTTCCTGGCGCACTTGCTACATACGGAACTCGAATTGCATTTTGCAACTAAATGCTTGTCACTTAAGCAGTTCAGACGTAGGTTGTTTGTCTTTACTAATTTATAACGTTCGCTTGGTGAATATTTACGAAAAGTCGCACAATTATATAAATTACCGTGTTTATCTTTACATACGATACAAGTATGCTGAAGTGATGTTGACGCAGCGGTTACGTAAGTTAACGACCCTGCTATTTTAGATGGTTGAGTCTGTCTACGGTCGACGCACCTTTTAATCTCTTGTTGAACGTTCGGAGAGCGCTGCATCACCTTTATTTGATCTCGCACGAACGATGCTAATGAATGAAAGGAAGGCATCTCCGAGCTACGATGCTCCATTTCAAACGCACGCACGGTGTCGGGGTCTAATTTCTTAAGTGCAATATGGAGAAACACCACGTCCATAAGGTCATTAAATTTTAAATTCTTAAGTGCAGCCACCGATGCCACAAATTTATCTAGAAACTGCTCTAAGCCGTTGATGTTCGCGGATGATATAGGTTTAAGATCGAAAATCTGGTTCAAATATTCGGAAGCTAACATTCTCCTATCTTCATATTTAGTTTTAAGCGTTTCGAATATTAATAAGTAATTGTTTGCTGTAGGTGTAAACCCAGAGCAGATCGACTGTGCCCTGCCACTAAGTTTACTAATTAAGTAATATAATTTTTCAGCGTCCGATAACGATGGGTTATTGTGTATATTGTTTTGAAAACTACTGAAGAAAAAGGGCCACGTCTTAATATCACCATTGAATACCGGAATATCTATTGGCGGCAAACTAATTGAGTCACGAGGACGTACCTGTAATTCCGGCTTTGCTTCGTTTTGAGATTGTAGGAGTTTTGCCGTTCTTTTCACGCGACACAACATATCTTCGAATGCCAGCAGCGGTTGGTAATTCACTATGTATTTCGAGTCGATTTGTGATTCTAAATGATTAATTTGGTCTAATATTCTTTCGTAATCCGTCCGCAAAGAATCCACCGTTTCAATTTCATTCACAAAAGTTTCCCGCACCGCTTCTACATTAATGTTCTTTATATGATCTCTAATGTTTTGTATACGTGAAAAAAGTACGTCCCTCTTGGCATAAAGCGTTTTAATTTTAAATTCACTTCCACTAACTGCCATTTTAAATTATTATAACAAAGTTATTAATCACAATTAATCTCACACGCATAAACGATGGACGATGGACGCTCGATATGCCGTATTACGTAATTAAATCGAACACCTGCTACAGTGGAGGCGACACGTTGCTTGCTAACTCAATGTTTTTATAAAGATTGTCGGGTAATCGTACCAAACGGTTGCTATCACACTGTTTCAATTTTAAACCTTAAATTTAACCAAATACGAGCGCTATGAAATAAACAATTCTGTTTGCGAGTACCTAATCAAAATTTAAACGAACACTATTTACACTATTTACGAACACTAATTATTCGACCAGAAAATGGTTGGATAACCACTAAACACCAATCCAAATCCTGCCCGAAGTGACCATAAAATGGTGGAGCCACGTGTTTAAGGACTGCCGAAGTCTAGTTCCTCGGTCGAACCTTAAACCTATTGCGCGAATTATTAATCTAAGTGGACTGTATCTACTAATACTTGTATATGCGGTACAATGCACTCGCTCTTCCCAAAAAAAACGAACTATTATGCCAAATCGATGAAAGGAATCCTGCTTGATTAGGAAAACACAAAATTGGAGCGGGTTAAAACTACTATATCAAGCAGGAAAATACTATTAGGAAAATGTTCACTCACCGGGATGTTTCTTCTGTGCGGTCGAGTACTATAACTGCGACTTCTGGAACACTCCGGAGAGAGGCGGTGCGCGACTATATCTCACACGAGGTGAGGCGGGTTTCCTGGAGCTCGACTGCTTCCAGGCTAAAGCGGTTTCTACTAGATGTGTTTCCAACAACGAGCGCGGCGGGAAGAGAGCTCTTTAGGACACTATTATCCAAGGCGGTGTGGTTTCAACGGCGAGCGCGGCGGGAAGAGCCACGCGTCGGTCGCGCGTGTCTTATATATCCTCGGTTCCGATGATTACGTGATGTTCTAGAATCATCTTCTTTCCCCTCCCACCCCACCACCCCGATGTGTCGATAGGAGGGTACGAATGATATCGTTTTAGAAAGGGATAACCGATTTGGCAGCCTACCGTCAAATAAAATAAATACGAATGGTTTTCCGCGCAACCAAACACGGTTGAGTTTTTTTTCCTCTTCTATAATCTTTATCTTCCATTCTAAAAGGTATAAATTAATTTTATTTGAATGAATATAATACTCATCGTAAAAGCTGGCTTTTGCCTTTGGCAGTAATAGATAGGTAGATACTTACATATAAAAATAATAGCTCACTTCTATAAGGTATATGTAGTTAGTACCTACTAAATGTCTACGCACACCACGCAATAAGTATAATAAAATTGCAAAGAAACATAAACAAATTGAATAATTATGTCACTTGTCGTCAAAGATATTTAAGTATGTAGTACCTGGATGACCGAGCTTTGCTCGGTATTTTTTTTTTTTTTTGGAAATCGTGTTTTTTGGAAATTATATTTAGATACAAATTACATACCTACTGATCTACCGTAAAACCTGCCAACATTGGCCACATTTTGCACCTAATCAACTTGAAATCCAAAAAACTGTTAGTAAAGTATTAGTTTTTCATATTTGTTTAACACCAGAAACCTCAACTGTTGATGTTAATTCACGGAAATTGCGAAAATTAGGACAGTTTCTTACCTAAAAATATATTTTTTTAGTCGGCCAAAATTACATCAGCTTTCTGTCAACATTAGCCACTGCTTATAACTCTTGAATTATAGTCTCAATGCCGTTTACTTTAAGAACTATGACAGGAAACTGGCCAAAGAAGACGTACAAAAGGCAATAATAACAAAAAGTAAAATAATTTGGCTTACAGCGAGGTGGCCAAAGATACCCGAAACTTTTTTAAATTTCCATATAAAACAGTTTTAGACTCAGGGTTGTGAATTTTTTTAATTATTATATATTGGTTGGGTTGTTTTACAAAAAAAAAAAAACATGTTTTTAATCAATCGCATTTTATTATATGAGATTTATTTGATACAATATTAGCATATAAAATATGGCACTTTTACTAAGCAAGTAGACAACAACATAGACTATCAAATTATATCAAGTATTAAATGGTTATGAGTAAGTACTTAAATTACTATCACGTATTTGTGAGATCAAAATTCTTAAAAAAAAGATTCATTTTTCAATTAATTAATCTCAAGACTACTTAATCATCACGTTGAGGTGAAAGAGAAAACTCAAATTTATAAATAAAAATATATATAACAATAGGTACCAAGCTTAAAGTGTTTATTTAGAAACTAGGTACCTACTGAAAACAAAAAATAATAAATGATAAACATACTTTGGCAACTTTAGGAAATAATCGTGTAAATGTCACATTCTAGTAAATACCAAAGAAATACAGCAATATACTTTTTGTGATAACACAAGACATAATATCAAATAGTTTACTACGTTTTCCTTTTTGACAGTTTTTCTCAAACGACGTTTTTTCTTCCTTTTTTTACTGCTAGTCTTCTCTCTGCTATGCTTTAAGTAGTCTAGCAATGCATTGTCAATCCCATATGATGCCACATCTTCTTGATACTCTGGTACACGCTTCAGTACTTCTCTTGGGTTGAATGGGTAGATCCCCGTTGCTCTGAATCCGCTTTTGATATTTTTAGATGAATATATTTCAACTTGATCAACTAAAGAATGTAAAAGTTTTGGGAAATGATTTTTATACAGAGTAGTTTGGTTGGGATTTTCCACTTTGTACTTGAGTAATATTGCTCGCCACACTTTTTTGTGTCAAAGTGGTGCAAAAAAAGCGACGTCAAGGGGTTGTGTTATGTGTGTCGAGCTAGATGGAATGAAAACAAACTGAATATTGTGACACTCACATAATTCGATAACACTCACATTTAAGTGGCTTGATAAATTATCGCATATAATGACCTTTTTACCAGGTAAAGACTTTGCCCAATCCATAATAGTTGTGTTAAAGTAATCCTCAAAAACAAAAGAATCAAACCACCCAGATCTTGTGCGGTTATACCTAGTGCCACGCGGTCCGCCCTGTATCCATTCAGAATATAAATTCTCTGCCTTATAGACAACGTAAATAAGTAGCAAACTCCCGTTCGCTGTAACTGAGAACATCAGCGAAATGGCTCCTTTAGTTAAATTGAGCACTCGCTCGGGATATTTTATTCCTCGCCTAAATATACATTTTAAAGATCCTGGATCATCTGTTAAATTTGTTTCGTCAAAATTGAGTATATTTGATGGAGCAACATCTTTCAAAGTCTCTTCTAAATTTCTAAAATATTCCATGAACTCATCAACCCCTTTCTCAGCTCTATTTTTTTTAATATTCTGCGTGCTACGAACTGACAAATCTGATGAATGTCTTGACAAAAAATTATCAAGCCATGCTTTTCCAGGAGGCCCTCCTTTAAATACATCCTCGCGGCCATTCTTTTTCAAGTTTTCAAACACGACGAGGCGAAGATCCAATTTACTAAGTGGGCATCCGAATTCCCCAGTAGCAATTAAAACTTTAATAAATTTGGCTTCTTGGTCTTCAGATAATCGCGTTGGACATCCGACAGACTTTGTATGAGACTTGTTTACTTTATTTAATATTGTCTGTTTGGAATCGCGAATTGTCGCGCCGCCTCTCTTGCTGATATCTGTTTTTTTCTAACAAGATCAAATTATTCAAATGAAATGCTTGAAATAGTACAGCTATTATTTATAATATACCATACCATATATAATATAATTTTTATATTGCCGGGCACCAAGGCGCCTGCGACATTTTCTTGCTTTTTTTCTTGATTTTGGTTTAGATGTATCCATTCTGTAAATATATATGGACATAAATAATAAGCAAATATACATATTTTAAACTGTATTCTAGGTATTATACCAAAACTAATTGTAAAACTAAGTTATAAGCAAAAAGTACCATCAACTCATGAGTAGGTAGGTACCGAATTCTAAAATTGTCAGTGGGCAGCCCTAGTATTATTTTTCTGTGGCCAAAGTTAACGGCACATGTTTGCTACAAGTGATTGTAACATTGGCCATTTGAACTACTGATTAATAGAGGACTCATATTGATTTGAGATGTACACCGTATTAAAACCAAGATTTCACTTAATAACATATCAAAAAATCCACTCACCTGGATCATTTTTCAAGCGAGAAAAAGCTTTATACTCGAGGAACAATTTGGGACCACCGGCAGCGTAGACAGAGAAACCTATAGAAAAATTGACGCCTTCTTTCGCATTCGTACACGAAAAAGATAGATTTATGCATACGTCTTGCATGGAAATGAGATAGAGCGGTGTGATTGTTTGTCCCTTTCTCCGTGCCGGTTTTTTTAGCAAACTCTACAGTTTGCTAAACAACTTTGACAGCGTAGCGATTTAAGGAGTTTACAAGTTGTTTTAAGTGAGAAAAAGTGTTTTGTGAGCTTAACATTGGTGAATCTTGTTCAGTTCAGTTCTTAGAACAATTAAAATTTTTATCCAAACGTGTTTAAAAGTCATAAAGATTATTCTATAATCTAAAAATTCGTTATCGTTCTTTCTCACTCAAGGCCACGCCGATCTATAGGTTTCTCTGTCTACGACCGGCAGAGACTCCTATTTGACAACTGTTGACAGCCAACTGAGTGAACTTAGCAACCGAACGTATGATTGGTATTGCCAGAAATATATTTTATTTTCCACAATATGTTGTAAAATGTTGCTATATGAGATATATTTTTACTACAGCAAATTTTTGTTATTTTTGTCAAGTGGCCATTGTTAGAATTAAAGACCAAAGTTGGGGTTTTACGGTAATATGCATAATATTTTTCGATCTTACCAACGTAATAAAAAAAACTGAACTAGTTATTTAAATAAAAATCATGAGTTCAATTAGTTTTAATTTATTTTTTCGTGTTTCGTCGTTCGATATATTAGATTTTCTCACAAAAGAAGGGAACTTGAAAAAAAGTCGGGCCGAAGACATTCAGATTCGAACCACGGATTCGGGGCTGCCGATTTTTCTTTTGAGCTATAGTAATCTTCGAATCACTAGCAAAATTTATAAATATGCAAACCGCAGATAGCTAGCCAACGTTCGAGCGATTCACAGAATACGCCCGAGTGTCGCTTACTGCTGCTATTGTAGCGTGCGTGAGAATTTGTTTATAATATTATGTTATTTTTGTATTTGTCACGCCCGGAGGGAGGCAAAGCGAGCGATATGAAACAGGTAGCAATTTTTAACATACCTACTCGCGTCGCGTATCGGCACTTCACAATCCTCTTAAAGATTACAAGTAATCCATAATGTTTTTTTTTTCTTTTACCTTTGGTTGGAAATCTCTGTTCTGGGCAAGAAGCCTCCCAACAAATGCCCAACAAAAGACTGTAGAGCTGATGAAGTCGAAAAAGTAGTTTTTTAGGTAGTTATTCTACTCTACTAGGCATCGTAGACTAATGGGTCTTCGCCGGCCGCGAATAGCAATTATTGAAATCAATTATTTCGATTTTAACGTATAGTTAATAAAAGATAGCTTGATCTCTGCGACAGCTGTCAGTAAAATCACGCCTATGAAGTCCTGAATTTCTTAGTAGTACAGATAGTACCTGTCAATGTCATATCTTTATGGGCATGCACTAATTAGGTCGGCATGCCCATAGTGAAGCTGCAGCTACAATGCGGGCTTCTTTACACATTACGGTTGCGGCACAAATGGATCGCCTCCACCGGGGAAAGACGACGCTCTCTTAGAATACCGGCGTAAAATAGCAGCTTAGTGCTGCTGTGATTTATATGGTGAACGCCGAGAGACTAGAACTAAAACACCTTTTTACTGGTAACGACGATCTAAGTTTTCAGTGGTGACAACGTATCAACATTTTTATTCGTAATCGAGAATAAAAGTTGATGTACATGAACTACAACATCCACTTACCATCTGGTACTCGTTTGGTACACTTATTCTATAATAAAATACAGGTATAAATATTGTTACGGGCTTAGGATTCGTGACAATAAAAACTGCCGATTGAATTATCAAAATTTACACTTTTATAACCGAACACCAATTAAAACTTAAAAGACACTAATAATTCATCACACTCATTCACTATATTTCGCTCCGAAGCTTCGCTTGTCTCGCCAAATTCAATACTGCCCCGATCGCGTATTGTAGCGCCTTTAAATACACCTTTTACTCCGTAACATCCAGAATATTCAAGTAGATACGCGCGCCAACCGACCAGGCGCCGAAAGTTCGAGTGTGGGGCTTGTAGAAACCTTAGTTCTTCAATTCGATACTAGATGGCGCTGTTGGTTGAAAGATTAGTCACGTCATTTTCTGGAAAGCTCTCCTCGCTCTGTTACCTGACACTAGATAGCGCTAGTGCCAGAGGTCAACTTCGGCGCGCAACACTGCCCCCTCCTAAGACATGCTCGTCCCGAGCATTATCGGCCCCATAATAAAGCGCCAGGCGATCTACATGGACGATCTTAGGAGTCCTTGTTGCGCCTTTCTGTATCCGGTAGGTTACATCGATGATCCTGGTCACAATCCGGTACGGGCCGTCCCATTTAGCTTGAAGCTTAGGAGATTTTCCTTTGCTGCGGACTGGATTGTGCAACCACACTAGTTAACCTTCGTCGAATCCTTTGTTGTTCATTTTGCGGTCATACCGGGTTTTCATCTTTTCAGACATTTGCTGGCCCGATTGTCTGACGTGCTCATAAATGTCATTCATTTTGTTCTGCAAGTCATTTGCATAATTGGTTATACTGCGTGGGGCATCAGGTGGTATCCCGGTGATATTCGCGAATTCTCTTCCAAAGTTTGCGAAAGCTGGTGTCCCTGATGTACTTTCGTGAACAGCGCTTCGATATGAAAACACAACAAAAACGGTTGTATGTGCTTGTCCCAATCTCGCTGCCGACTGTCTACAATCTTTGCTACCTCTCCAATGTCTGATTAAATCGTTCTACCATTCCATCGAATTGCGGGTGATAAGAAGTTGTTCTTGTTTTATGAGTACCCATAACTCGGCAAGTTTCCTGGAATATTTGAGACTCAAAATTCCTTCCTTGATCGCTGTGAATCTCTAAAGGTACTCCAAAACGACAGAAGACTTCATGAACTAGTTTATCTGCAACTGTTGAAGCTTCTTCATTTGGAATGGCGAAGACTTCTGGCCACTTAGTGAAGTAATCCATCACAACCATGAAATACTTGTTACCGCTTTCACTCTCCGGAAACGGCCCCGCCACGTCAATGGCTATTCTCTCCCATGGTGCACCAACATTGTACAACTTCAATGCACCTCTACTACGAGTCTGAGGTCCCTTTACAGCCGCACAACTTGTACATTTGCGACACCAGTCCTCGACATCGTTTCGACAGTGGACCCAGTAAAACCATTCTCGGATCTTCAGTAGAGTTCGTTTAACTCCCAGATGGTCTCCTTAACAATCATTATGGTACAGCTGTAGAATATCCGGTACTTTAGCTTTAGGGACAACCATTTGCAAATGACAGTTGTCTCCCCGAATATTTTCCCATTTACGGCACAGAACTCCATTCTGAAGCAGCAAGCTGTCCCATTGGGCCCAATAGCTTTTAGTAGTTGAACTCATCGCTGAGACGTCGCTCCACTTGAGCTTGGGAGCACTGGCCCTCATCCATTCCAGAATCGGCTTGATGTCCGGATCTTCCTGCTGTGCATGTTGTAAGCTGTCCTTCCACTCGTTGTTGAGGTGGTCTGTCCTGAGCATCCTTACGGATACCACTTCCTTACTCTCTTGCCTGGTACAATGTTTTCAATCTTCAGGACAAGGTCTTCTTGACAATGCATCTGCGTTGCCATGAGATTTCCCGCTGCGATGTTCGATCTCAAAGTCATATTCCTGCTGTAGTTCAATCCGCCTCGCATCTTGTCCTTTTGGATTTTTTGAATGCAATAGCCATTTTAGTACAGCATGGTCAGTTCGTAAGTAAAATTTCCGCCCCAGAAGATATTTGCTAAAAATCTGCAACGACTTTACCACAGCTAGCAATTCGCGCCTTGTGACACAATAGTTCCTTTCCGGTTTTGACAACGACTTGCTGAAGTACGCTATCACGACCTCTTCGTCACCATTCCGTTGAGACAACACACCGCCAAGTCCTATATCATTTGCGTCTGTGTCAACTATAAATTCTTTGCTTGCATCTGGGTATCCCAAAATAGGTGATTTGCACAGACGGTCCTTGAGCTCATGGAATGCGATATTGCAACTTTCATCCCAGCAGAAATGTTGCTTCTCCTCGGTTAGCTCGTGCAGAGGTTCGGCTATATCTGCAAAGTTCTTCACAAATCGCCGATAATAGGAGCACAAACCTAAAAATGCCCTAACTTGCGTCTTGTCTTTTAGAACCGGACAATCCTTGACAGCGGCGATTTTCTACGGATCCGTGCCTTCTTCCGACACTACATACCCCAAAAAGTTGACTTGCCGTTTGAATAGTGAACATTTCTTCGGACTCAACTTGAGGTTGGCTTCTAGAGCACACATTTCAGTTTTAAGGTGTTCCTCAACGTACGGCCCACGATGATGATGTTATCCAAGTAGACCAGACAGGCATTGCCAATTAGCCCGGTAAGTACAAGCTGCATAAGCCTTTCAAACGTTGCTGGAGCATTGCACAATCCAAACGGCATTACTTTAAATTGCCACAGACCCTTTCCCGTCGAGAACGCAGTTTTCTCCTTATCCTTAGGGTCGATTTCAACTTACCAGTAGCCACTTTTTAGATCCAGTGTGCTAAACCACTTTACTCCTGTAAGCATGTCCAGCGTGTCATCAATTCTTGGCAACGGATAGCTGTCCTTTTTTGTAACGTCGCGTCGTTCAGATGGCGGTAGTCAACAAAGAACTGCATGCTGCCGTCCTTCTTCTTTACCAGCACCACGGGTGAACACCATGGACTAGATGAAGGTTCAATAACACCATCCTTCACCATTCTTTCAATCATGGTTTTCACTTCTTTTTTACGTGCTACCGGCAATTTTCTTGGCCGCTGATGGATAGGCAATTCTTCTCCTGTGTTTATTTTGTGTTGAACTAAGCCAGTCTTTCCTATGTCAGCATCGTTTGATGAGAATACATCGGCGTACTTGTGTA